AAGATGCGGATTCAAAAATTTGTTCTTTCCCTGTGAAACAATGCCAATGAATTTTGTGATTTTTAAGTAGGTTATTGACCATGGAGGTTAAAATTGAGAGATTGAGGTTGTTATCTCCTCTGCTGTGGATAACGACTGGAAAGTTTGTGCACTGCTAAATGTAGTTGCCTTTCGAAATATGTAATTTGCTTCTGGAAGTTTTGAGAATTTGGTCTATCTGTAGTATCCAAGCCATATTCTCTTCTGATACAGTTTTTGAAGATGCCAAAATGGAAGGTAAATTTTTGAAGAACATGTCTAAAGCTGTGGTAGAATTTGAATTCACAATTCGTGGGTGGATTCCAAAAGAGAGTCTGATCCTATGATCCTTCCTGATCTCTGATCTTTCTGATGATGTTGGAAATCTTGGGGGTTGCAGTAGGTGGCAATCAATAGCGACAATTTGGTCTTGAAGAGGTCAGATGTACCCATATCATCCAACTCATGGATACCAGTTAATCCGGTTTTTACCATGAGTTGGTCGAGATGAAAATTGGCATCGACAGCCATCAGTGGTCCAGTTAATTTGGTTGACAGGCATCCTATAGGTAACCCAAAGCAATCTTTTTGTTCTTCGAAAGTTTATACCCAATCCTGTTGTTCTGCAGTTAATTTACTGATGATTATTTTTAGAATTTTCCAATGTAGTAATGAATTTAAGTATGTTTGGCCAAAGTTGTCGAAAATGTAAAAGTTGAATTTGGATAAGTTATTAATCTGGCAGAAGATATCAGCAATCAAAATTTCCTCTGTTCTAAATTTCAAATTTTCGGATGCTCCGTACATTTAATTGCAATGGGAAATTCAAACAAAATTTATTAATCCATCTCGATATGACACTTCCAGTATTCTGGCTAATTCCCTCAACAGACCATGACGAAGCTGTATCCACATCTGATATTTGTCTGGGCCAAACTTTGCATCACTCTCAACATCTGGATGTACATTGTTAATATGGTGCTTTCAACATTGTAATTTGAGCAAACTGTTGTTTACAATAAAAACAAGCAGATTCAGGAGCCATATACCAAGGAAGATGAAACCTATTTACATGCCTATAAAGATGTCTCATGGGGAGTTGACAAATAAAACAAGGAAAAGATTTTGGAGGACATACCACTGGTACCTCAGGTGTTGTATTAGGTACACAGAGGTCTTCATCTGCCTCCTTCACTATCTGATGATATTGCTCCTCATCTTTTGTCTTACTTCTTCCTGCCACAATTGGTAAACCTTATATAAAAATAAGAAAACGTGGTATGATTGCCAATGAGACAACTCTCAACCACATACCAAATGACGTAGAAGTTAACATCTATATGTGACTGTATGGTCTTCAACAATGAGCAAAACCTATACCACATAGTTAGCTTCAAAAAGTCCCAAAATGAAAAATGTAAAAACAATTCAAACGAGAAACCTAACGACCTAAATGATAAAGACGCCGACGCCACTACCGACGACGGAATATAGGTTTGCTGTGAATCACTGCCGCTACATTAATGTATCAAGCTCGACATAAATTAAAAGACTTGTATTTTATTGTCAACAAATGAGACACTTTAAATCAACTCACACTAAAGTTACAGGGAAATGGGGGGATCGGACTAAGCGACAAAGCATCAATTCTATAAATTAAGAATTCTCTGATTTTGTTTTAGCGTGTATGATCATTTGAACATATACGACTATCAATCTTTTATTTTTATAAATTGCATTCTCTGATATACCTCGCACTAATTGAAAAAACAAACTTTTTGGAATATCTGTTTCACAAGTGACGACGGATATGTTCCAGTTGTCGTAACCACAATTCCGTCATCTTTTCCTGGAAGGTAAACTACCAAATAAAACCAAATCACTGGGTTTGTACTTTCACGAATAACTCGACGGGTGCCACACGTTGAGCAGAATCTGTTTACCCTTCCGGAGCACCCGAGATCACTCCCGATGGATTTATAGTACCTGTATTTTACATTTTTTTCTTATGTTGTGCTGTTACACTACAGTCCCAGGTTAGGTAAGGGTTTAGCGCTCACATACATGTTAAACTCCACCACGTGCACTTTCTTTATGTGCCTGCCCCAAGTCAGGAGCCTGTAGTTCAATGGTCGTCGTTGTTTCATGTGTGTCATATTTGTTTTTCGTAGATTCTTTAGTTATAAATTAGACCGTTAGTTTTCTCGTTTGAATTGTTTCACAATTTCACGTGGTGTCCTTTTGTAGCCGACTATACGGTGTGTTGAAGGCTGTACGGTTGCCTATGATTGTTTACATCCACTGCATTTAAACTCTGGTGGATATTTGTCTCATTGGCAATCACACCACATTTAACTTTATTTCAATTTCTATGTTGTATTTTGTATACTGTAACATTGTTTATCTTTTGTACGCATACCCCTGAGCCCTCTTTTCGGAAGCCCGAGCAAAAGCCCTTGATCCGCGATAGAAAATTTTAATACGAACTTATATTAGATAACTCGAAATGTTAATCTAAATGAGACTCAAATTCGAGTCTAACTCGAACTCTACCTCAAAAGGTGACTCAAACTCGAAGTTCAACTCGGAACTCAATTCTTACTAGAACTTTAATTCTAATAATGGCTTGAATTCTAACTCGAAATCGAAAACTAACTAAAAATTTAACTCGAACCGTAACCCGAACTTTAATTTGAACTCTAACTCGATGGATGGCCACACTCATCCAAGGCACATAAAACATAGAAATCTATTTAAAAATAGAACTAGTTTTTCCGAATTGGTCACGTGGTTTTACCTCATCAAGTAATGTGATAACCACATCAAAGAATGACAGGACCACATCAAATACTGAAACAAACACATCATGTAGTGTAAAATCGTCAAATTTTGAAACATCATTACGTAATGTTAAAGCCATTTAAAGAATTGGCAAATCATCATTGCGAAATGACAAAACCACATCATGTAATGAAACAACTACATTACGTTAAGTCGCATACACATCAAGTAATGTTAAAATCACATTGCCTAATGACATAACCACATTAAATAATGGCGAAACCACATCGAGTTTGACAAAACCATATTAAGTAATGACAAAACTATATCAAGTCAATACGAAACCATATCGTGTAATATCGAAATATCATTAAGTAATGACTATTCCATATTGAGTCATATCAGAACATCATTACGTAATGTCAAAACCATATTATGTAAAGACAAAATATCACCAAGTAATAATAAAACAACATAACTTAATATCAGAGTTCCACATAAGACAGTTGTGGCGCTCTATACGATTTCTTCATAATTTGAATTGATAATCTTTCCCAGTAATTTTGTTTAAATGCCAATAAGCTAAGGCATGCATTGATCTATCATTAATATTCTAGCTCTTTATACATGTACATACTCGTATACAACATCACCATACAAAGAATATACTGACATTTCTAAAGCTATTATAGTAAAACTTGTAAACTATATATAAGTATCTATGATATATTTTAGAATTTAATCATGGCTAAGTGTGGTTTATTCTTAGAAAATGCCGCAACTAATATGCTTCCAGTTAAACATAAATCACGCTCAGACCACTAAATATCAATAATTCTCAAAACCTGCCAAATTAGGCTGAGGGAATATATGTCTTGTGTGAGACAAACAATAGCGTTTCGAATAATTTCAATAACATTTTGTAAACATTTAGTTATCAAAAAATGAAACAAAAATACAAAAAAAATGCAATCAGTCTTTCATATTTGATTGAGTTACAGTAAGTGCCATAAGGTAAATTTATGAGGTATAAACAGAGATTTTTTGATTATATAAAAAAAACAAAAAAACACATCAAGTTAATTATAAGTTTTATTATCTTTTTCTATCAACTGAAATAAAAACATATCTTTATTGACCTTTGCCACACACTGTGATTAATGGCATGAATCAATACAAAAATAAGAAGATCTGATATGTTTGCCAATCAGACTAGACACCAAATTACAAAGAGGTTAACAATGACAGATCACCGTACGGCTTTCAACAATGAGCAAAACCCATACAGCACAGTAAGCTATAAAAGGCCCCAAAATGAAAAAGGAATACATTTAAACGAGAAAACTAACGGCCTGTTTTATGTACAAAACAATAAGAGAAAAATACATTATATACAGCAACAAACGACAACCACTGAATTACAGGCTTCTGACTTCAAACAGGCACATACAGAATGTGGCGGGATTAAAAAGGTTTGCTGGCGCCAAACACTACCCCCGCCCCCCTTACCTGAGAAAGTGGTGTAACAGTACAACATAAAGATTACTATAAGTATAAAAATCCTGTCCTGACATCAGTGACGCATGTTTTGCAGTTTTGCACTTTTCTGCTGTCAGTGACAGCAAATAAATGACAAAACTGAAATATGTCGCTGAGGCCAGGGCTGTCATTTTTGACTGATGCGGTCACTTAAATGCAGATTTTTTAAAAGAAAAGAAAAAAAAAAAACTCTAAGTCAACATGAATTGTTTGAAGGAAGAAAACACTGACATCAACCCTAAAATGAGGTATAAATTACGGCAACAGAAGTTTATCGTGGTAAATCTATTAGGAAGAGACAAATACGGTTAAAAACAGAAACTGAGGGAATTGCATGAATTCTAGAAATGAGTGAGACATGGTGCGTCGACATAGTAATCGACTACTGCTATGCATGGATCACCCGCAATGCAAATTCACACCCAGTAAAACTTAAACTTAATTATTTAGGTACTCAACTCTACCTGATTCATTTCGGTCAGACGAAAAAACGACACATCACAATTCAAATTAGCCTAAGTACCTCAGTTAATGTAAAACTGTTGTGAAGCTGTGTAATGTACGACTTTTTCATGATATTATTGTTACAGAAGTAAAATCAGACTGGAAATGGAAAAAGGAAAAAAAGAAGTGTTATTAATATTTAACTGAAACCACTGATATAAGAGTAAAACAATTTAATGTGTAAACATCAATATTGTTCAGCTCATTTTACATGTATTTGGTAACGAATTTTATTTTAATGTCAACAAAATTTAATGATTTGGCACGTGATAATTTATAATACTAGCTGATAGAGATCAATGGTAATGTTGTAATGTGTTGAAAGACGAAGTTTCAATGATTCCTCCATTATATTTAGGTTTTGTTTTCTTTGGTACAATGTCGGGGTGAACCATATCCATACTGGTTATACTGCCAAATTCTTTTTTCCTTGTTCTTTTCCTAAAAAGTAAATAAATAAATTTTACATTGAATATGTGTTCATGGACTGATATGTTTAATGATTTATTTATCGCATTAGATTTAAAACATTTGCATATTTGATATACCTAAGGAAAATTAATTTTACTTATTTGATCATATATCCAAATGAAGAATATATTACCAGTATACAATTATGCTTTCTTCACAAAAAACCGCCGACACATGGATCGAAAAAAGTGATGATAAAATCTCTTTCAAAACTATTCAATAATTGTATTACGATTAATTCTATCATGGGTTTAAAATAACCTACACCAACTCAATATATCAAGCCTTCAGTAATTCATACCAAATGTTTATATTTAGAGTATGTTTGCATCTTGTTGAATCTATATCATTTTCTTTTTTTTTTTCAGAGCATGCATCATGTTGGTACATTGATCGAAATTAAACATTAATCATTATTATTCTATTTATATGTTATATTATTTAAATATTTATATTCAATGCACATTTGATTTTGCTGGGGTGGTCTGGTCTATTTAACTGAAACCATTTTTATTGTATTTATGATTTGTAAGTATTACACGATAACAAAGCAAGTAAATCATTCGAAAAAAATAATAATATGCTACAACCATAAGGGAACTGTGTATGATTCAAGCCAAAAATTAACAGTTTTATCTTATTGTTGTGATCTCTTATCTATTTCCCGCATGACGAGATACTCTCGTATCACACTGCACGGAGTGGGATACGAAAAAATGATACGACAAGCATAGGTTGCCGTACGGTCTTAGAAAATAAGCAAAACCCATTACTACATCTATCAGTAAAATACGATAAAGTATGAAAACATATACTCTGTTAACTGGCAATATTCAGTTAATAATTGATTTTTTTAAAAATCAGTCAATGTTCTAACCACATGTAGTACATTTGTTAGTACGTAACGGAAAAGTAAAAAGAAAATTTGGTAAGTGTAGTTTGTATCGTTTGAACCGTTATAGGGTTAAAATTTGTTTTGACAAAGTTGTTGATAACTAAAAATCTTTAACCACAGACAGATCCTTAATCAAGATGTAGCCGTTATCGCTTATTTAAGGACTCCGTGGTCTTACTATAGGGTGTGTACATTAAATGTCATCGAGAATGACCTGCAACTAATTTTTAAAGGATGCATAATACACCAACATTTGGCTCGTACTTTTTTTGATAAATACGTGTAGTGTCTTCTATTGTTAAAACCATTACTTGTTTAACAAACGTCATGACAACCAACAAAGGACATGTGATCCCAAGTGTATGGGTACAAAAATACCTTGTTAATTTTGTCACAAAACTTTCGCATTAACATGTAATACTTATTATGTGATTATACCAATAAAATCTGAATGTTGCATCTTACCTGACGTAATGCCTATATAGTATATACAAAGTCGTCATGGCAATCAAAATAATGACAACTATGATGGCAATAACCCAATAAGGAAAGGCTGTATCTGAAATGCAAACAAAACTGTTGGAAATAAAATGTAGACTTAAATGTAAATAATTTCTATGAAAATCAAGTTTTAAAATCAATTAGGTAAACTTACTTTACCAGTTTGATACATTACACTGAATGTTTGAGTCAGAATTTAATCATTTAGACTAAAAAAACTTATTAAGCAATTATAAACCCGACAGAAAGGAAGAGTTTTATAAAATTTTCTTTTCATAAAATGCAAACAACACATTATTAATTTCTTGCGTCCGAAGCTCTTTCCAGGATTTACCTTCATCAGGAACGCTCAAAGCCGATTATTTGAAAGCAAAGGATGTATAAGAAGCGGAACAGTTGAAGAGCTGTATGACCAAAAAGGACCTAAAAAAATAGCCAAATCAAACTAAGGTCAACTTTGCCTGTGGGAGTTGAAACCTTATATATAAAAAAGAAGATGTGGTATGATTGCCAATGAGACAACTCTCCACAAGAGACCAAATGACACAGAAATTAGTTTCTTATAATTTCAAAATTTATTAACGGACAGTTTTAAAAGGTTTTTTATAAAGCATACTGAGCTGATGATACCCTCGTAACCGAAAATCCACCAGCAGAGGTATCGACCCAGTGCTGGAGATATATCTTTAAAAGTATAACGTCAGTAACCGTTATGTTTAATGAAAGCTAACCCATATCTTGATTGTTCGATGTAATGTTGTATATCAATATTATTGGAACCTAGCGGATAAGTTTCTTTCAAATCTTAATCGACAAAGATCGCAAGATTTCCTGCCGAATGTCGCTAGTTTCTAAGAGTAGGACAATTAAAACTGCTCGCCTAGATATCCCCATGGTAAAGGAAAGTAGTGTTAATCACCAACAAGTAAACAAAGGACAAAATTTATTGTGCCTATAAGTCAATATTAGAACATTTGTCTTTATGCTCCAAAATCAAATCATTACTTAATAATAACGGGTGGTTTAGTGCATTCAATGGTTTTGGTTTGTTTTGCTATATTTTTATTTTTCTGTGTAGTGTTGTGTTGACTGTTGGTGAGGTTTGTTTTGCTAGATCTTTATTTTTCTGTGTAGTGTTGTGTTGACTGTTGGTGAGGTTTGTTTTACTAGATCTTTATTTTTCTGTGTAGTCTTGTGTTGACTGTTGGTGAGGCTAGTTTTGCTACATCTTTATTTTTCTGTGTAGTGTTGTGTTGACAGTTGGTGAGGTTTGTTTTGCTAGATCTTTATTTTTCTGTGTAGTGTTGTGTTGACTGTTAGTGAGGTTTGTTTTGTTAGATCTTTAGTTTTCTGTGTAGTGTTGGGTTGACTGTTGGTGAGGTTTGTTTTGCTAGATCTTTAGTTTTCTGTGTAGTGTTGTGTTGACTATTGATGAGGTTCGTTATGCTAGATCTTTAGTTTTCTTTGTAGTGTTTTGTTGACTGTTGGTGAGGTTTGTTTTGCTAGATCTTTATTTTTCTGTGTAGTGTTGTGTTGACCGTTGGGGAGGTTTGTTTTGCTAGATCTTTATTTTTCTGTGTAGTGTTGTGTTGACTGTTGATGAGGTTTGTTTAACTAGATCTTTTTTTTTTCTGTGTAGTGTTGTGTTGACTGTTGGTGAGGTTTGTTTAACTAGATCTTTTTTTTTCTGTTTAGTGTTGTGTTGACTATTGGTGAAATTTGTTTTGCTAGATCTTTATTTTTCTGTGTAGTGTTGTGTTGACTATTGGTGAAGTTTGTTTTGCTAGATCTTTATTTTTCTGTGTAGTGTTGTGTTGACTGTTGGTGAGGTTTGTTCTGCTAGATCTTTAGTTTTCTGTGTAGTGTTGTGTTGATTGTTGGTGAGGTTTGTATTGCTAGATCTTCATTTTTCTGTGTAGTGTTGTGTTGACTGTTGGTGAGATTTGTTTTGCTAGATCTTTATTTTTCTGTGTAGTGTTGTGTTGACTGTTGTTTGACTTTATGCGGTTTTTTTTTTGTCCTAAATTTTAATATTTATATACGCATTTCAATTATGTTTAATTTTCTTTTCAAATTTCCTTGTTTTTAGGATTCGTGGTCAGAATAAGGAACATGTAAATGACATAACTAAGCACGTGTTCTTTTTAATATCGATCACTTGAAGTAGAAGGATAGCTACATTTGCTGCTTATTTCACAGTGTGTTCTTCTGTTGTTCTGTTGTACCACTTTCTGTGGTAAGGGGGTTAATGGTCCAAGTCGGTATCATCACTGTTGTTCATAATTATATCCTTGGTGTCTCGTATTAGATGTTTCACATTTTGTCATGCCGGGGTCCATTATATTTTACTATAAGGTACGATATTCGCACACTGTTAATGGTCGTACGGTGACCTAAAGTTTCTTACATCCACGCCATTTGGTCTCTGGTGGATAGCTAGTTGTCTCTTTCGCAATCATACCACATCTTCTCATTTTTATATCAATAGTTGTTCAGGATACCTTTTTAACAATAGTTTTCGAACAATTTTTCCTCAAATGTTTTGATATCACATTTCTAAAATTCGTCATACACACTTTGGTCTCATTTGTAATCATACCCAATCACCTAATTTATATCAAAATAGAGTTGTGTCTTTATATATGTATTTGTTGCTTTTCCAAGCAACTGTCATCAAAGACATTATTCAGCTTCCATCCTCAGATATTGTGCTAAATGACTCCTCAATTTATGGAAAAGTAAACAGTATTTTTGTATTCATTTTTTTTTCAGCACACTTAAGTTATCGTAAAAAATTAATAAAAAGAGCAAGTACAAGGCAAACGATAGTTCAAAAAGGCAAGAGGCAAGCACCTGAGACCAACGCCTATTTTTGCGTGGGCTGATGTTGCCTATTTTTCCTGTGTTCTGAAGACAGCTAAAATCTCATAAGGGATAAGTATCGTCTTTTTGTTTAAAAAGTATATGCACTTACCATTATGTTTTTTATCTTCCGGAATGGTAATTTCAAATGAAGGGGTTGTTTTTATTGTTGGATGTTCTGTACTGCTTGATGTACTCTCAAACAGATCTTTTAATGTCGATGTTCTGTACTGCTCAGATGTTGTCAAGGAAACTAAAATGAATTTTACGTCCCTTGATGAAAATTTGTTTGCCGCTAATGTCGTATACAATAAAGTATGTAAACTTGGTTCCGCTGCCGGGATCCACGAAATATCTTCTGAAGCATGAACTGATATTGTTGGATGTTCTGTACTGCTTGGTGTACTCTCAAACAGATCTTTTAATGTCGATGTTCTGTACTGTTCAAATGTTGTCAAGGAAACTAAAATGGATTTTACGTCCCTTGATGAAAATTTGTTTGCCGCTAATGTCGTATACAATGAAGTATGTAAACTTGGTTCCGCTGCCGGGATCAACGAAATATCTTCTGAAGCATGGAGAAATGATTTTGGTGGTACCATTGTTGATGTATACATTACAGGCGTTGAGGTTACTGACTGCAAAGGTTTAGACGAGAACATTGTTGAGGAATTAACAAACAGGAGAAAGTGACTATTTGTTGTTATATCAAGTTCAGAGGCTTCAAAATGCACAGTTTTGCTAGCAGAGATATCCATCGAAGAAGCTATAAAGTTCGACTTGATATGAGTTTGTATAGTTGTTTGTTTGTCTATATTTGATGATATGATATCTGATAACTGGCTAAAAGTGGTTGTTGGTTGCAAAGTTGACAAAGATATTAATGACGTCAGACGTTTACTGGGCCGTACATCTGATTCTGGAGGTAACGTAAATGCTGTGGATTGTGTTGCATAAAGCTCCAAATAAGAATACATTCTACTTGCAGTATGGCTAGTTATTGTTGTAGTGATATAGGTTGAAAATGAATCAGTCAATTGAGTTGTTTGCTTCAAACTTGATGGATAATTGATTGATTCAAATATAAAAGATGACGAATATAGTTTTTCATATACGTCGGTAGATGTAAGCATTTGTGTTGACTGATGATTCAATATTTGACTAGGTATATATGTTGTGACCGTTGAAGCTAGTAGAGCATCCAAAACAGATGATCGTGACAGCACAGCAGACACTGATGAAGGACATTTAGCTTTATTATCAACACATTTTCCTGCTTCACATCGATAGAGTCCTTCGGGACAAGGTTGAACAAATTCGCCTGTAATTAGTATGAAATAATATGTACTCTAACATGTATTTGTTAACATTGTAGTTTTTAGATGGATGCAAAATATTGCACATATTGAATGATTGAAAACATAACATAAACGTTTAATTCGGACTGCAGTGCGAACAACAAGTGTCTTTTGAATAGTCTTGATCAAGTTCTCTCGAAACCCAAATGACTTCACAACTTAATTAATAGATATAAGAAGATGTGGTATGAGTGCCAATGAGACAACTCTCCATCCAAGTCACAATTTGTAAAAGTAAACCATTATAGGTCAGAGTATGGCCTTCAACACGGAGCATTGGCTCACACCGAACAGCAAGCTATAAAGGGCCCCAAAATGACTAGCGTAAAACAATTCAAACTGGAAAACTAACGAAAGTCACAAGGCATAAATAGCTTAAGCTAGGGTTGGCAAACATTGTTTTGAAAATTTTTTGTTCAATGCCCTTTAATTTCGTAATTGATTTGGCCTGACAAATGTTTTGATGGGTCACACTAAACATGTCTGGCGACCTACATTAATAGCCTGGTATCGTTGGTAAGCTTTTGTAAGTGCTAACACATGATTGGTTGTTTGTTTTTGTGGAAAATATTTCATGCATATAAAGATGAAACAAATTTACAGTTTATATAAAATGTAGTTTCTGCAATGTTTCCTAATTAAGATTAAGGGCAGACATTTTGGTCTGCCATTGAATACGCGGATATGTTGGATACGAGATAAAATTTTGCCTTGCAACGAATTCCTCATGGAGTTGTTGTAAGGATTCCTTAACGTATAGATAGCATGCCTCTTTACCTACAATAGTTATCGGATTAAATAGTAGCACATGAATATTAGCTACTTTTTTCTAGAAAAAAAGCAGTTTTAGTAAAATGATTGTTCTATTCATGAAACTCTTGACTTACCAGTGAAGACACATTTGAGAAGATAGAAATTTTTAAGCATATAATTATAATAAGCGCAATTCGTGTATGTGACATGAACATTTAATCATCATCGACTTTGAATGGAAGCTGAAGAATGAACACTAAAGATTCAGGTTAGAAGAGCGCAATTATGTGTTTACATTTTACCCCAAGATGGTACTCAGAATAGAATCCTGTACGGCTTCCGATTGGATGATACAGGATTGGAATTACTTTTAATCGAAAGCTTATCCAATTAGGTTTAAAAAATCCAGAAAATCAAATTCACATTTTACAAAGAATAGAAAATATCTCCCATTTCTGCACGTCGGAGCCATTAAAAATATGCCTTGTTCATTAAGCGAAAAAAAAATAGACGATTTTTTTCAACTGTATTTTAAGTCAATTTTTGCCGCATGACCATATATATTTTTTTGGTTGTTATGCAACACTGGCATTTCTAGTAACAGGAACTGCTACTCGTTTTTTCCTGGTGTGTGTAGTCTTTGAGAAATAAAATACGGAACACCACTGGTACCCTATGGAAAATGAATTACGAATAATTGCGCTCTTGTAACCTTCACAACACAGGCGACACGTGGTACATATGGGAAATATTGCTGATATCTGATTTACTATTTATAAAACTATTCTAAACATTTTATCTGTAGACTCGAAGATGTTGTTGATTTAGAACGACTTTTGTGGCGGGCGATTGAATTCATAAAATATATATTTACAGTTAAGTTCATCAGAATAATCCGAACATTCAAAGTTATCGTCGCATCTGGCTCTGGCTGGAATACACTGCCCATTGGTACACTGGAACTGGTCAGCATCACATGATTCAACTGTCAATATAGAAAATCTCAAAAACAAATATTTAGTTTGAAGATAATGCGTGAGATATAAATGTTTACTTACACTGTAGAAATGGTTTTTATAATTTGAGCACATTTCTAATGTGTTTAGATCTTACCAGTTTACGTATTCTGTTCAAATCAGAAACGTATATAATCTTGAACAAGGTAGATTTCATATGTATGTTAACTCTATAGATGTGTCTGATGCCAATGGACATGCACATCCAGTTAATTCTTCAAATTTGAGTATACACAAAGCAAATGCAATCTTTACTTAACTGTTTCTATAGGCATTCGTTTTACTTTGAATACCACAAGTATATATATTACATGGATAGGAATAGTACAAAGAGACAGTAACATCTAACCACGATTAAAGACCTAAACACTAAGTCTTCTGCAGCATAATATGTTTAGACCATGAACACGTGTGTATTAAACGAAAAAAAAAAAAACATGTTTTGCGCTAGAACACGAAAATCAAACAAACGGTGTGTTGGAGAATGTATTTCAAACTTAAACCATTTTTAGAGTGGATGAATAAATAATATCTTGAATAATGCTTGTACAAAAAAAATCCCGGTAAAACAAATTGTTGTGTTGATACCTGCTTGAAAAGTTTTTCACGTTTGTTGAAGGCCATACGGTGACCTATACCTGTTAACTTCTACGTCATTTGGTCTCTAGTGAAGAGTAAAGTTGTCTCATTGGCAATCATACCAGATCTTCTTATTTTCATAATTACATGTATAACATATATTTGTTATGGTTCCCGTATGTGTTGCATCATCTTAAAATTGCATCTAGTTAGATAGAATATGTAATATTTTGTCTTGCATGTCTTTGTGTGAAAAATTGTTTGTTTTTGCAAAAGACGGTAATTTGTATATACACTTATTTACTTATGTGAAAATAGTTACAAAACTTTAAAATGTAGTTGTCTAAGAATATGTTAGTCATACTATAGTATCCATACTGATTTAACTGCATTCAAGCCTAAGTACGTGTACTCGTTGTGAAAAAAACGGGATGTGTTTGATTCAATCCCAAGCATGACTAAAGATTAAACAAGTGTTTGCATTTTTCAGGAAAGCACGTAGTTTTTAAGAGTACGTTCAAAGACTGGTCAGCTGCCAGTCAGAAAAAATGTGTCCGCACTAAGTGCAATATCTGCAAGCGTACTTTTACCTTGTGATCTACCTATGGAAGACTAAGAGAAACAAAAAGCGAACCAAATAGTAACTGCAACGCATGTCTGTGTCGTTGTAATATGATCGTAAAAATTGTATGGACATAAAGCGCATTAACACTTCCAACTATGTGTGTTATCCTAATAAACTGTATCGCTATGTGGGAATCTGCGATACGTGACCCGAGAATCTGCGACACTTGACCCGAGAATCTGCGACACTTGAACTATTGACCTCATACAACAGACAAGATTAACAAGTCGGATTTGTTCGAAAAGAGAAATAAAGATTCCTCTTAAACTGCGTAAAAAGGCTTGATTCACGCAGTCAATATTAGTAACTGAAAAATTCACGTTTACTAACGGCAAAATATAAAGGAAAATAAAGAATAAGTTTGTTTATGAACCACAGTGAACCGCATCCAGTTTTGAATTAAACAGTAAACAATATACATTAACCATGCTAACTATTAATTCACACCATGCTAAAGACACCAGATGGTTCTGCAGATATCATTCTATCGTAAATATAAATAGAGATTTTTATACACATAGATGCAATCATTATACTGTTTCAAAAGTTTGCCTTTCAAGCAAAAAAAAAAAATGCAAGTGATAAAACTGTTCTGATTAAAACATTTTTGTCGGTTTTCACAGGTGTTTACCTAAGGCATACAGTTCGTAATATTAAATAACTCTCCACATTCAATAACACAGTTGTACATTGTAAGGCCAATTTCTCCTGAATTTATTTCACGCCAGGGTCATTTTCAAAAAGTCCTCAATTACAGTATGATAGCTTCATGTGCATGCTATGAAGTGATCAAAGTATTTTCGAACAGGTAACAACAATTAAAAATGCATTATGATTTGTCATTAACGCAATTACATTAGATTTTTATCTAACATTTGCGATATTGTATCAAAACAACAACTTTCGGATTTTTACCCTGCGATTGAAAGAAATACAGCAGAAATGTGGTCCTATCTTTTTCTTTTATTTAGTACATGTAAAGGAAGCCATGATGCAGTCAAATTAAAATATTCAGATCTGTCGATGTTAATTTTTTTCAATAGTACTTTTTAAAAAAAAAAAAAGAACAAAGTCCTGTTTACATTTACAAATGTAACTATTTCTACGTTTCATCTGGTATTTCAAAACATACACTGTATTTAACAGCTTGTTAATTTCAACTGATAATACATGTATAACAGTCATTACCGAAAAAGAACAAATAATGATTATACATTAAACTGTACTGTGAGTATTCATGCATTTATAGTTTACTTTTACAATGTGACTTGGATGGAGAGTTGTCCCATTGGCACTCATACCACATCTTCTTATATCTATTTAAACATTCACAAAAACATAAGGATTAGTCAAAAACTGTAACTATTGATACATAATGGACGGCGGGAATTGGGTACCCGACATGCCTTTTAAACTATTGATACATAATGGACGGGGGAATTGAGTACCCGACATGCCTTTTAAACTATTGATACATTATGGACGGTAGGAATTGGGTACCCGACATGCCTGTTAAACTATTGATACATAATGGACGGTAAGAATTGGGTACCCGACATGCCTGTTAAACTATTGATACATAATGGACGGCGGGAATTGGGTACCCGACATGCCTTTTAAACTATTGATACATAATGGACGGCGGGAATTGGATACCCGATATGCCTTTTAAACTATTGATACATAATGGACGGTAGGAATTGGGTACCCGAAATGCCTGTTAAACTATTGATACATAATGGACGGTAAGAATTGGGTACCCGACATGCCTGTTAAACTATTGATACATAATGGACGGAGGAATTGGGTACCCGACATGCCTGTTAAACTATTGATACATAATGGACGGCGGGAATTGGATACCCGATATGCCTTTTAAACTATTGATACATAATGGACGGCGGGAATTGGGTACCCGACATGCCTTTTAAACTACTGATACATAATGGACGGTATTAAGAGGGTATCTGACATGCCTGTTAAACTATTGATACATAATGGACGGTAAGAATTGGGTACCCGACATGCCTGTTAAACTATTGATACAGAATAGACGGTGGGAATTGGGTACCCGACATGCCTGTTAAACTATTGATACATAATGGACAGTGGGAATTGGGTACCCGGCATGCTTGTTAAACTATTGATACATAATGGACGGTTGGAATCGGGAACCCCACATGCCTGTTAGTGATATTTTTTTTTTTCGTTTGTCGCTAACATTATAGAAAAGGGGGAGGAGCATTTTCCGCTTTACGGTTAAGGTCAATCTCATCCTCGTTGTTATTTTGAAATGTTAAGCTATAACTTTACATGTTTGTCTCGTTTACGCTTAATCGTGATAATGCTGTGTGTCTTACAACTGTAAAAAAACATTGCATTTCTATTTGAAGATCAGTGATCTATATGAGGAAAGTATGTATTTTACTTACTAGGTATTCAGTAGTTGTAAATACAAAAACACAGAAGTGGAATATCTGTCTTTCCTTCATGAACTCTGATCGTTAACGTCTTAACTCCTAAAATAAAAGTTCAACAATACTCCGGTTTTTCTTTTAGAAAATAACAAAAACACTTTTTTTTTCAAATATTAATTCTATCTTAAAAGAATAAAACATCCATATCACCAAGATCAAAATCGCTCAGCAACATGACAGCTCTTCATGTAGGTAATATGTATGGTTCTATCTAATTCTCGTTAACGTGTTTGATAACGCTTATACCTCATTTATTTTTCGTAGAATTGAAAGACAGAAGAATGTTAAATGTTTTGCTCTATAGTTTGGTGACCTTGGTTACATGAATTGAGAGTTGAAATCGGGGTTAGAATTTGACATTTCAAGGTCTTAATGGTACCACTTAAAATAACATACATAATAATATCATGTATATACAACATAACCGATGTGAATTAAGAAATGCATGTTTATTTAAATGCGGTCAGTACAGATGTAAGTGGAATACTTTACGTCTTGAATTTTGAGATGCTGGAAACATTTAGAGCTGTGATCATTAAATGTTGAAGCATGTTCATATTAACATATTTGATGCATATTTCAGATAAAATAAACTATAATTAATTCTATTACTGAATTTAACATGTGAAAGTACAAGTGAAACTCGTCTAATTAGCGGATAAGATTATAATAAACATGTGTGCCAAGCAAAGGCAATGAAAGTCAGAGAACATAAAAAAAATGTATTTTTTCCTCTGCACAATTCGTCATCCAGTGTTCTAGAAATTTATTTGATTTTTTTTTGTGGTTGTGAAATGTCTTTATACATCATCACTCAAAACTGTTCACTGTTTTACCTTCAGTTTCCTATATACATGTAAAAACTATAGGATATAGAACTTAATAAATATATTTGCCAACTATTAAATAAGATTGAAACTACTTAATTGCATTGCAAGTCACGAATTTTCAATAACAACAAAGTTAAAAAGCATTTTACGTTCATTTTTAAAAGGTTGAATTTTTCAACTAATTTAAAAAAAAAAAAAATTAGTTTCCTACCACAATACAGTAAATACCTTTTAGTGTGATCATACATTACGGTAATCATTAAACTATTATAAAACAGATACTTACGAATAAATGAAATCTACGCACATCTAAATCACGTTTATAATCCGACATGATACAAGGTTTTGTCTAGGTGTGACAGTGAAAATTTAAGTGCAACTTCATGCCTCAACAGCTGCATTCTAACTTTAATAATTTAAAGAAATTTGTATATTTGTTTCAAATTATTATGTTTTATATATGAACTTTTTAGTATGAAAATCTGTTATACAATATTTATGAATCAGTATAATTTAAAGTAAATTATATTATCTCATTACTTAATACTATTAGCCACGGAAATTAACTTTTATAATCTTTAGCAATTTATCTAAAGACACAGGACAATAGATATAAATAAGTTTTATCTGGACAAAGTGATATTATGTAATCTTGGGTCATTTACTTATTTACGAATCTCAATAATCCGTTTTATGTCAAGAAAAGTTAAGGTGATATTTTTGTTAGCGTCCCCCTATATGACATGGGGCCAGCTAAAGGATATTTTTTAATTAAACCTTTTGTTAGCTTTCAAAGTAAACCTTGTCGAACCTCACCTGAAAACTAAGCAGGAAACTTTGTTAATAAGCGTCAGTGTTGGTCAGTTTCATTCCAACCAGCACTGAATAAAGTTGTATTCTTAAAAGCTTGTTTTCATTACAGGTGAGTGTTCAATATTTTTTAGTATTTTTCATAGGATATTTTAGTTTATTCAAATACAAAGTTACTTAGATTCAAAATCATTAATTGAGCATTTTTATAGTTGAATTAATCCTTTGTTTAATTCAAATGTTTGGTCAAGTTACAAAGTCTTGGTGTCCATTCGTTGAAGTGTTCAAATGTCTTTTCTGGTTTAGGTCTCAGATGAAGCCTCATCATTCTTAGTCAGTTTACATGTTTTTACATTTTAATACTTAAATGTCGAGTCATTGTCAGACTATATATTTTTGTACTCTAAATCAAAAAGGTCTTAAGTTTGAAGTTGAAATGTTTTGTATATATTTTAAAGAGTCATTGTCCAAGTTAATATTTTTATGTGTTAGCTTTGATCGTCAAAGAATTAACTTTCCCAAGCGTCCATGGTGTGCAAAGTGAATAAACACTTTCAAAAGTGTCGAGTCAGTCTAGTTTGATTTTTGTAAATACGTTCATTGTTTTTATAGATGTTATTAATTTTGAGAAATTAATAGACGCGTTCCAGAAAAGAGTTTTACTCATTCATTAGAAGTATTACGCATTAAAGTTATGACCAATGTAAATACGTTAATTTGTTTAATTGATATATTACGCTTTCTTTTGTAATGTCTGTGCGACACATATCGAGACTCTATTTTCTTTGTCTGTATTAGTTTCATAACTATACTCAGTTAATTGAATCATGGCACGTTATAGTGTATGTTTACCTTTTTGGTCTTTGGTTGTAGCATATTGAATTATCTCCCATTATTTGAATTCGCATTCTTCGCAACAAAAACAAAGATGTTGAATTGTGCACATATCAGGCATTTCCAGGTATAACAAAGAGAAAACTATTATTATTTCAAGTCCATATGTTATGGCAAATTGCATACATCAAATGATTATATTCTATTATGTGTAAATTTAGTGATAAATGAAAATTAAGGGAAAAGGGGGGTGTTCAGACATGATTAACTTTGGGACATTAGATAACCCTTTGTGATTCTAGTTTAAAGAACATGTATATAGCAAGTTCCTTTTATTTTAATTATTTCACAAGGCAATGTCATTAAATAGTTTGCCCTATTGATTTTATTACAATTTATTGTGTGTTTTAAAGTCTGGTTAATTGTTTTGAAAAGAGACATTGCTCATATGTTTTATCTAAGCACTCCATAACATCCAGGCACCATTATTCTAATAATAGATTACGTGAGCTAGTTTTCCCCCTTCTTGATTAAAGTGAACATGTTTTGGGGTGTTTTTATTATGTTACAGTGGGGTAACTGATGATTGGTTAATTAAAGACAAGACGCTTATATATGATGTTATGTATGTTTATATGTTGAATATTATGTATTGTATAACAGTTTCATTCCAACCAGCACTGAATAAAGTTGTATTCTTAAAAGCTTGTTTTCATTACAGTCTCGCAAGCAGCAGAACATCAGCAAACATACAAACAAGAACATCATCACTACATTCAGTTGTCATTACCCCCAGAAAGCACCCAAAACCTCGTTCACAGCTTGGTGGAGCCCTGAAATTTCCCGTCTCTACTGATGCCAGGGAGTGCAGACTCAAAGAAGAAAGGATCAACGCCTTTGAACTTCTACCCAAATACAAGGTCATTTGCAGCCACTAGTGAAGATACAGCACCAACAGAAGACGAGCCAAATCATATAGGTTTGATAAGCAATTCAGGCAATGAATCCGATGAACAAAATTTAATTAATCTAGATTCACCAGATAATATTGATGTAATAGTACATGTTCAACAGGATGAAATTCTAAATAATCAACCAATAGTAGCTGTTAACGATAACATAGAACCAGAAAATCTTATAAACAATATAGAAACAAATACTGATTTAGATATAATGGCATCTGGAGGTGTTTCCCTTCCGAAATTCTATGATGAATTTAACAACATACCTGTAGAATGGTGGTATTTATTTGAATCTTTCAAAATATACCACAATTTACAAGACGATAGAGCACTTGCTTCGCTAGCATTCAATTTTGATGGACAAGCTAAGATTTGGCTTCAATCACTTGCTCCAGAAGTCAGAAATGATATGGCAACACTTAAAGCAGCATTCTTGCTTAGATTTTCAAACAACAAATCAAATAAATTAATATACAAACTACAACAGTTACCTGGAGAAAATGGTAATGATTACTTAACAAGAGTTCAAAGACTTGCTATGAATACCGAATTAGGAGAGAGCACAATTGTTGAACTTGCCTTAAATGGACTTCTTCCACATTTAAAGGCATCAGTGACTCAAAGTGACCCAAAAACATATAATGAATTAAGGCAAGCCATAGACATAGCTATAAATGTGACAGAATGCCATAACCACAGCATACCGTCGACAAAAAGTAACAATGTACCACAGGTACCAGCAACAACAGAGAATCCTGCAACTGCTTCCAGCTCTAATGACATTAATTCTTTACTTTCTTCTTTTATAGATTCAATGAAGACAGTTGTTAGGCAAGAAGTTATGGCTTTAACTCCAAACAGGGATAACAGAGAAGAAAGACAGTTCTCACAAGTGCCATGCAGAGGTTGCGGTAAGTCATGTCGTACAAGAAGGCAATGTCCTGCATACAATGTTAGATGTTTTAGTTGTGATAATATAGGTCACTACAAAGAGGTGTGTGAGCAAAACGAAAGAAAAAAACAACAAAATCAAAATAACAGGTATAGAAGACCACAACAAAACTTTCAACAAAGAGGATCAAACTTTAATCAAGGTCATATGAACAATCAAAACCAACAATCTCACAACAACTACACACAAAATTACAGAGGTTAGGGATACGCGCCTATCCAGAAATTGGGTAGGCATTTCTCAGGGGAAAAGAAGGGACATGCCAAGAGACATACAAACAACTCCCCTATTCCTAAAAAGTCAACAAGTTTAAGAGTGAAGAAGAAGAAAACTCCAGGAGTTTTTCAATTAGTAACTTTAAACGTAAATAAAATTCAAATTGAAGTTTACGGCAAAAGTATAAGTTGCTTAGTTGACACTGGGGCAGCTATAAGCTGTTGTTCTAAAAACTTACTTAACTTCTTGGGAATAGGCAAAGATAAGTTACAAAATTCAAACTTAAAAGATGCTATGGGAGTTGGTGGTAATGTCCTTCCTATTTTAGGTGTGATATCTCTTCCTTTAGTCATTGGCAATAATTCTTATTGGAATGATTTTTATGTTTTTGAAAATGTACAGCAGAATATATTACTAGGCAATGACTTTCTTCATCCCAACAAGGTAGATATTTTGAATTCAGTTGGATCTGTTTTCTTTCCTGACAAAGAAAACAACACAATCAATACTCTAGAGTTGAATTCAGGGCTGGCTAGAACTGTTAGTGGAACAACAATTCCACCTTTTCACCAGGCTGACATACCTGTTACTATCTCAAATGTGCGAAATCAGGTTGCTCTTTTAGAACCCTTGCCTTCTCTTCCAGAAAAGTCACTTGCAGGAGCAAAATGTTGTGTTTCCCTATATGAAACAAACAAGTCTATTCTTAGAGTCATGAACCCTACTAAAGATGCAATTTATCTTCCTGCCAATTATGTAGTTGCTTCTGTGTCTGCAGTGCAACCTGAAATGGTACTACCAATGTCCACTTCTTGTAACCAGTCCCCACCCAAAATACCAACACAAAATGAGAAATGTGAAGAAGAGTATTTAGACTTTGACTTAAATAATGCTGACCTTAGTTCGGAACAAAAGCAACTTTTGAAATGCTTTCTCAATAGAAATCGTCAAGTTTTTGCCAAGGATTTAAGTGAATTAGGTCATACCCACCTGTATAACCATGTCATAGATACAGGTAATGCCTTGCCAATCAAAAAGCGCTTTTATAGACAGTCACCACAGGTTTTGGCAGATATGAATAGACAGATTGATCAAATGTTAGAGTATGGTATTATAGAAGAGTCAGATAGTGAATGGCAAAGCCCAGTGGTCATGTGTAAAAAGAAATCAGGGGAATTAAGGTTCTGCGTAGACTATAGAGCCGTAAATAAGATCAGTCGCCCAAAATTTTTTCCGTTACCACGGCTAGAAGATGTATTTGATGCAATTGGCCAAGCAGACGCCAACATTTTTAGTACGCTGGACCTCTTGTCAGGATATTGGCAATGTGGCCTTGACCCTGAAACAGCACATAAAGCAGCCTTTGTCACCCCTAGTGGAGTATATCAGTGGAAACGTTTACCATTTGGTTTGGCTTCAGCCCCATCCTCTTTTCAACACTTGTTGACTCAGGTTCTAAGAAACCTAAACTACAAAATTGCCCTTGTTTATGTAGACGACATTTTGATATTTAGCAAGTCCTTTGAGGAACATTTGAAACATCTCCAGTTGGTTTTTGATAGGCTCATTTCTGCAGGTCTTACTCTCAAGCCCAGCAAATGTCTTTTTGCTCGTCCCGAGGTGATCTATCTTGGTCATAAGATTTCAAAAAAAGGAGTTCAGGCAGATATTTCCAAAGTAGAAGCTGTGGAGTCATTTCCTGTCCCGAAAACTGAAAAGAATGTTCGGTCCTTTCTTGGCCTAACAAACTATTACAGGAAGTTCATAAAAGGGTATAGTCACATTGCAACTCCACTAAATAGACTCCTCAGAAAAGATGTTCCATTTGAATGGTCAGAAAAGTGCCAAAAGGCATTTGACCAACTCAAACAATCTCTCTGCTCATCACCTATATTGGCTTATCCTAATATGTCAAGACCATTTATTCTCACTACTGATGCCAGCGGCTCAGCTATTGCTTACATATTAGGTCAATTGGACTCTGAAGGTCGAGAAAGAGTGATTGCATATGGAGGTCGTTCTTTGTCTGAAGGTGAAAAGGCCTGGCCAATTAGTGAATTGGAATGTCTTGCTGTTCTTGAAGGAATCAAGACCTATCATGTTTACTTGGCAAACAGTCATTTCAAAGTCTATACTGATCACCATTCACTCAAGTGGTTAAGTTCTATCAAGCAGTCAACAGGTCGTTTAGCAAGATGGTCAGTTCTATTGCAAGGTTATAGTTTTGATATCTGTTATCGGGAAGGCAATAAAAATGGAAATGCTGATGGTCTGTCTAGAAGAGAATACTCTGTTTCTCAGTCCTCTTTAGAGCCTGAAGACGCTATCCCCTCTGTAGATGTAAACCTAGTTTCAGTTGAACAAGAAACAAATGAACATTTACAAGTAACTTTTCTGTACAATTCTTGTAATTCACCAACCCCAACTATCATGGAAATCACCACTGGCAATGGCACAGAACAACCAGTTCCAAGCACTAATGAAAAACACCCAGAACAAATTACTGAAGTTATACCAGAGAATGTTGGTGAATCCCAAAAGGAATGTCACGATTTCAAACACATTTATGCTTATCTTGAAACAGGTGTCCTTCCAGAAGATAAAAAGTTGGCAACAAAAGTTTTCTTAGAAGCTAGTCAATATGCCTTGCTAGATGGTATCTTGTTCCATTTCTATCAACCAAGAACAAGAGGTAGAAAAAAAGATATCTTTGTTAGACAACTTGCTTGTCCTCGTCAGTTTCGAAATGACCTTCTTAAATCTTATCATGAGTTGGGACACTTTGGCTTTGACAGAACTTATCTTGCTATCAAACAAAAGTACTTCTTTCCTGGAATGTATCAAGCAGTCGCAGATTTCATTCGTGGTTGTGATTCCTGTCAGAGAGCAAAGCCACATGCTCATGCTAAAAGAGTTCCTTTAACTCCCATGCCTATTCTGGACACTTTTTCACGATGGCACATTGATCTAATTGGTCCCTTCAAAGAGACAAAATTGGGTCATAAATATATCCTTATTGTGGTTTGTGCTTTTAGTAAATGGACAGAGGCCTTTCCAGTTAGGTCAGAAACTGCTGCAGACATTGCAGAAGTTCTTCACAAAGAAATATTCTCTCGTTATGGAAGTTGTTCTAGTTTGGTCTCAGATCGTGGTCAAGGGTTCATGAGTAAGCTTGTGGCAGCGGTTACACAAATTTACAATGTGAAACACTATTTCACAAGTTCTTACCATCCACAGACAAATTCTGTCGCTGAACGCACCAACAAAACAGTTATTCAATGCTTGAAAACTATCGTAGATGAAAATCAGTCAAATTGGGCTGAACTTCTTCCTGGAATACTCATGGCTTTTCGAATGTCTCCTTCAGCATCCTCAGAATTTTCTCCTTATCACTTACTCTTTGGCAAAGAAATGAACTTACCAGTAGACACTACTCTTCTTCCAAAAACTGACTTAAACAAAAACCTGAAGTTCCACATTGAAAATATTCTTGATTGTCTGAAGATAGCCAAAAGATGTGCAACTGACAATCTTCAATACTCACAGGAGAGGCAAAAGTCACATTATGACAAGAATACTGCATTGCCACAGTTTGAAATACAGGACCTTGTCCTTATTCACAATCCAAAAGTTCCAGTTGGCCTATCTTCTAAGCTTCATAGGAAAAACGATGGTCCTTTCTACATAGTTGCAAAAGGACCTCACCACACATTCAAGTTGCGTCGTTGTGAAGACAATAAGCTGTTAAAAAGCATGATAAATTCAAACAGATTGAAGAAATACATTCCCCCAGATCATCGCCCAGATCAAAACGCTCCTCCCCCAGATGAACCCCGCCCAGACCCCCGAAGAACAGATCAACCAAATTTTCAAGAACCAGAGCCCAATCCAGATCCAAGTCAAAATAGTCAAACCAATATACAAGATAGTGATGAACCAGTTGAAGACAATTCAAAACAATTTTATGACATTGAAAAACTTCTACAACGTAGAAAGTACAAGGGTGAACCTCAGTTCTTAGTCAAGTGGGTTGGTTTCAAGGAAAAAACATGGGAACCAGAACAGAATCTTCCCATTCAATTAGTTCGTCAGTTCCTGGCGACCAAAACTCAAGGAGGTAAAAGAAGAAAAAGGTCCATTAGGGACGCTGGTCTACAGGACCCAACAGTTTAGATAGTCATGTTAAAGTCAGACTTCTAGGTCAGTCAACTCATCCATTGAGTTCATTATAGCCAAAATTGTTCAGTTCTTTCAATTCGATTGTATTTTCAAAATACATGCATATGATAAATTCATATAAAATGATAATACTCCATAGTAAAATTGTATTTCTCTAATGCACCCTAATTATCTACACATGGACTTGGCATAATTTAGACTCATCTACTCTAGATATTCTTCAATCTTTTGTTTCTGTGTGGTGTTTGTCAAAATTATGAGGTTTCTCATGTAAATAGTGCTACGAGGGAAGAGCTCTCCCTTAACCGACTCACACTACACATCTCTTTACATTCTTTCTTTGTTTTCTTTAGGTGCTTTGAGTTATGCCACAGTTTTTTCATGGATTCTCTTGGTTGGCATATATGCCGTAAATGCAGATGGAGAAGTACAGATGCACCGCATCAACTATGGAGTAACTTTTGCTAAGGAAGCAAACATTGTTTTCGGTAGTGAAAATTGGCTTCACACTTTTGAGATACCTCTTCCACACAAGATATCGTCAGTCCAGTTCCCAAGATGTGATATAGTGCATCAAAATTGTCATATTCTCAATCAAGTAATTTCACAGCTATCAGCTGTCCGAACAGGAGTCACAGCAAATATTAATAACACTATAGATGTTATTCATAGATTAGTTAAGAAAGCAGATTTCAACTTAGATACCCGTTCCCAGAGTAGAAGCAAAAGAGGGCTTTTTGATTTTATAGGATCTATTTCTCGTTCTTTATTTGGAACAGCTACAGTAAAAGATGTCCAAAAGCTAGCAAGACATATCAATATATTGGCTGAAAGAAACAATAAGTTCGCAAAAGCAATGTCACACCATGATGAAGAGTTATCATCATTCATGACAAATACTGACAGTCGTTTCAGTAACATGATGCGTGGTATTCAGAAAAATTATGACAGCATCCAAAATGTAACTTTTGAAACTGCAAAATTTGTTGCTCACTTTGAAGACGTTAGTCTTAAGTTATCCAACCTGTTTATTGATCAAATGAATGATAGTTCTGTAATTACAAAATATTTAGAGGAATTGAACATTGGAATTCATGAAATGGTGAAAGGCAAATTATCCCCCTTTCTTATTTCACCCTATATACTTAATAATGCTATTAAGCACATTAAACTTATTCTTAGTGACAAGTTTAAAGGTTTTTATCTTCTAAACTCAGATCCTGCATATTATTACTCAGAATGTAGCATGTTGTTTGCCAGAAAACATTCAACTTTGTATTTAACCTTAAAGTTTCCTATATCTACTTTTGCTTTTCCACTGTATTTATACAAGATAACTTCATATCCAGTTCCTGTAAATGTTACAAGTACCCATGCAACCCAGATATTAGATTTACCAGAATATTTTGTCGTTACACATAATAATCAATATTATGCATCACTGTCTTTTGATAAGTTGAGATCTTGTTCTGGAACAAACACATTATATTGTTCTCATAGTTTACCTCTAGTATCAGCTGTCAAAACTAATTGTATATCGTCATTATATTTCAACTCAAAATCAGATATTCACAAACAATGTGATTTTAGATTTCTGTTAAACACAATACAACCTTCAATCGAACAAATTTTTGATAACACACTTTTAGTTTATAAAACAAACACACTCGCATTTGAGTGTCAAAACAAACACAGCATTGTGAAAGGCTGTCATTTTTGCTTTATTCACATTCCATGCAGATGTTCATTATCTACTGACTCAATTTTTGTTCCGAAAAAAATAGAACATTGTCAAAATAATACAGACACTATTACTGTATTACATCCAGTGAATCTTGCACTTATTCAACATTTCTTTTCACACGAAACATACAATTCTATTTTAGGAGATACTGTTTTTACTAAACCCATAAATATAGACATTCCGAAAATACATATTTTTAACCACACATTTTCAAACATTTTGGCACAGGATAAGATTTTACACCTCAGTTTAAAAAGAATTGCAAAGGCAACACAAAAAGAACGTACAGTATTTACGTCACTGTCTGAACCCCTTCTTGATGGTAAAATTACAGTAGACAATTCATGGCTTGATCTCAGTACAATTCTTGCTATTGCAGCATTGGGTCTGTCATCCATTTTAGCAATCGTATGCTTCACACTTGTCAACAAAGTTCGCATCCTCACAGCCACAGTACTTCTTTTACAAAAGATTCCACAGGCACAAAGTACCTCTATTGCGTCAATAATTCCAACATTTATTTACAAACAAATTTCAAAAACTACAACTCCAAGTACCATTGAAAACATTTTTAACACTCAGTGCAATCCATGGCCTTTTGTTATATTATCCATAATAACTACAACCACATTAACAATTTTTACAGTCTATTTTTACAAAAGGTCTACAAACAACAATCATACAAAAGTCGTTCTCGAAATCACAAATGGATTATCACGCATCACCATACCAATAGTCAAGTTATCACTTTGTCCTACAGATTGGGACATAAAGGTACCAGATACTATTACCAACATGAGAATTTCTGGATTTTTCATTACAAGGTTACATGCAGACTGGCATGATTTTTGTATTCGTGGGACCAATACAAAACACGAAATCCCACTACCTAAATACATTTCAATCAACCCATACACTGCGAGAAAAATACGAAAAATATTAAACACACCATTCTTTTGCCATATTTTGCTCACGCATCACAACCATTTTATGATATTGAAATAGGAAATATAATTTATTTAATCCTGTATGCAACAGAACAATGCCTTTTTGTATTTTTCATGACTTATGGTAAACTCTCAAAATAGCTTGTGTAAAATGTCTTTCTTACAAAAAGGGGAAAATAATTATTTTTAATTTTGGATTTATCTACAATTTTATTTTTCTTCGGGGTCGAAGAAATTTTCGACCGGGTGGGAAATATGTGACAGTGAAAATTTAAGTGCAACTTCATGCCTCAACAGCTGCATTCTAACTTTAATAATTTAAAGAAATTTGTATATTTGTTTCAAATTATTATGTTTTATATATGAACTTTTTAGTATGAAAATCTGTTATACAATATTTATGAATCAGTATAATTTAAAGTAAATTATATTATCTCATTACTTAATACTATTAGCCACGGAAATTAACTTTTATAATCTTTAGCAATTTATCTAAAGACACAGGACAATAGATATAAATAAGTTTTATCTGGACAAAGTGATATTATGTAATCTTGGGTCATTTACTTATTTACGAATCTCAATAATCCGTTTTATGTCAAGAAAAGTTAAGGTGATATTTTTGTTAGCGTCCCCCTATATGACATGGGGCCAGCTAAAGGATATTTTTTAATTAAACCTTTTGTTAGCTTTCAAAGTAAACCTTGTCGAACCTCACCTGAAAACTAAGCAGGAAACTTTGTTAATAAGCGTCAGTGTTGGTCAGTTTCATTCCAACCAGCACTGAATAAAGTTGTATTCTTAAAAGCTTGTTTTCATTACAGGTGAGTGTTCAATATTTTTTAGTATTTTTCATAGGATATTTTAGTTTATTCAAATACAAAGTTACTTAGATTCAAAATCATTAATTGAGCATTTTTATAGTTGAATTAATCCTTTGTTTAATTCAAATGTTTGGTCAAGTTACAAAGTCTTGGTGTCCATTCGTTGAAGTGTTCAAATGTCTTTTCTGGTTTAGGTCTCAGATGAAGCCTCATCATTCTTAGTCAGTTTACATGTTTTTACATTTTAATACTTAAATGTCGAGTCATTGTCAGACTATATATTTTTGTACTCTAAATCAAAAAGGTCTTAAGTTTGAAGTTGAAATGTTTTGTATATATTTTAAAGAGTCATTGTCCAAGTTAATATTTTTATGTGTTAGCTTTGATCGTCAAAGAATTAACTTTCCCAAGCGTCCATGGTGTGCAAAGTGAATAAACACTTTCAAAAGTGTCGAGTCAGTCTAGTTTGATTTTTGTAAATACGTTCATTGTTTTTATAGATGTTATTAATTTTGAGAAATTAATAGACGCGTTCCAGAAAAGAGTTTTACTCATTCATTAGAAGTATTACGCATTAAAGTTATGACCAATGTAAATACGTTAATTTGTTTAATTGATATATTACGCTTTCTTTTGTAATGTCTGTGCGACACATATCGAGACTCTATTTTCTTTGTCTGTATTAGTTTCATAACTATACTCAGTTAATTGAATCATGGCACGTTATAGTGTATGTTTACCTTTTTGGTCTTTGGTTGTAGCATATTGAATTATCTCCCATTATTTGAATTCGCATTCTTCGCAACAAAAACAAAGATGTTGAATTGTGCACATATCAGGCATTTCCAGGTATAACAAAGAGAAAACTATTATTATTTCAAGTCCATATGTTATGGCAAATTGCATACATCAAATGATTATATTCTATTATGTGTAAATTTAGTGATAAATGAAAATTAAGGGAAAAGGGGGGTGTTCAGACATGATTAACTTTGGGACATTAGATAACCCTTTGTGATTCTAGTTTAAAGAACATGTATATAGCAAGTTCCTTTTATTTTAATTATTTCACAAGGCAATGTCATTAAATAGTTTGCCCTATTGATTTTATTACAATTTATTGTGTGTTTTAAAGTCTGGTTAATTGTTTTGAAAAGAGACATTGCTCATATGTTTTATCTAAGCACTCCATAACATCCAGGCACCATTATTCTAATAATAGATTACGTGAGCTAGTTTTCCCCCTTCTTGATTAAAGTGAACATGTTTTGGGGTGTTTTTATTATGTTACAGTGGGGTAACTGATGATTGGTTAATTAAAGACAAGACGCTTATATATGATGTTATGTATGTTTATATGTTGAATATTATGTATTGTATAACAGTTTCATTCCAACCAGCACTGAATAAAGTTGTATTCTTAAAAGCTTGTTTTCATTACAGTCTCGCAAGCAGCAGAACATCAGCAAACATACAAACAAGAACATCATCACTACATTCAGTTGTCATTACCCCCAGAAAGCACCCAAAACCTCGTTCACATAGGTTTTAAAAGTTAAGACATAATTCAGTTTAAATTGAATTTCTCATAGATTCAAATACATCATCAGTCATTTGTGGAAGACACGTTTTCAAATAAGGTAAGGTGTATTACCTGTTGTGTTATTCCAAATATCATTCCACAAATACATTCATGAATCAGATATTTATCATAATATATTAAACATGCACACCTGTCCAGTACAAGACCGTGTGGACTTTTGTTTGTCTGAAGGATAGTAAACTTCAATGACGAAATACGGTTTATCGCGGATTCAGTGCATTAATTTAACGTAGGAGGTTTTTCGTTGATAGTAAATGTAAGCTTTTTTTCTGTTAAGAGTAGCATAAAGAAAAATACCTAAAACATGATGTTATCCGTCATACACACGTATCAAATATATAGATATTAGAAGATGTGGTATGAGTGCCAATGAGACAACTCTCCATCCAAGTCACAATTTGTAAAAGTAAACCATTATAGGTCAAAGTCTGAGGTCAAAGTACGGCCTTCAACACGGAGCCTTGGCTCACACCGAACAGCAAGCTATAAAGGGCCCCAAAATTGACTAGTGTAAAACCATTCAAACAGGAAAACCAACGGAAAAATATGTTTATAATAGCATTTAGTATGTTACATGTAGCAAAATGATTCAGTGCCGCATAATAGAAACTACGTTAAATTCAATATGTTCATGCTTACTGTTGAATACAACTGAACAGCGGCAAGATTACTACTCAAAACTTCAAATCTTTTATATTGGAGAATACAATACGATATATATTTGGGTGCGCACGGCACGTGATTCTAGAATAACATTAAATATCCTTTAACAGGTACATTTGCGAAGGTTCGATGCTTAAGTTTGATAAACTCAAAAACATACAAAAAAGTTTCAGATCAGAAAGTCTAAAAAAAAGTCTAAAGAATCAAACAAAAAATGTTTTCAATTTAAAAGATAGCAGATATGCTTGCTTAGAAGATTTAATAAGATATTAGAAGAGTGGGGCATTCACTACCCGTACGGAGCAAACATTCAAGCCGCAATGTAAATTGAAAACGGGCTCTAAAACCGGTTCAGAGTGGATGTTTTTTTTTATCTCGATAACGATATACGGATATTTTACACTTTCAATCTTGTTTGTACAAAAATAATATGTTGTATCAAGAAAGTTTGCCATCTACACTCTTTTGCACATTGCAAGCGTAGAATTCGCGAAGTCGTTTGTTCGAACGCCTGCAGTGTCAAACCATATATCTCAAAAATTGGTACATGATACTTCTCTGCTAAACATGCTACCTTTAGGAGTAGGAGCAAAGACTGTTCGGCTAGGAGTCAAAATAATCCACCGATAAGGGTGACATGCTTTCCTTGGGACTGTTACATTATCAAATAGAACGTTCAAAATTCGGCTCAGCTTTAACGTGTATTCATATGCATGTAATATTTGCTACTGGACGTTAAACATCAATCCAACGACATCGGTACTCTTCTATTTTGTACTTGTTTATAAAGATGGAAACAATGTGGCTGTACATATATCAATGTAATACATGTACATGTACTACAGAACATATTTTTGTATATTACATATATATATACTACAAAGTACATCAGACTGGGTGTACATTTATATATATATATATATAAATCGTCTCAAATTTAGCCCAACAATGTAAGATCTTCAAATTTGCATTAGCAAATTTTTGTTCTTCCCTCATCGGGATTCGAACCCTTGCGGCCGTGACATTGATGCAACACCGCCTGCACGTGTCCAGCGACCTAGACCGCGAAACCACCTAGGCTACATAAAAATATAGCTTTCGGTGGTCGATGTAATGCCTTTCCTCGTCGGCTTTATCTAGGGTTGTAACACAGTACATGATGTATAGTGGCAAGTAGATGGTGTACCTATCAGATCAGCTATTTTGTCTGTCGTAAAGGATGATAATGTTAATTACCATGCCGCCACATCAAATTTGATTTTATTATTCACGTCTAAACATGTGACAACTTTATGACAAACATTGTCCATCGGATAACACATGGTTATACAGGGCTAACACCATGTATATTATATATATTATATATGTAATTCGTCTCAAATTTAGCCCAACAATGTTATACATGACCGATTACTATGAATGAAAAACTATATTGTTTTCATTTTTGTTTTAATATTTTTGATAATAATATTATTATCGGTAAACGATTGATTAATTGATTGTTGGTTACTAAACGTCCAGTGACTTTTAAAATCTAGATGCGATATTTCAGATGATATCCTGCTTCGAATATTTATTACCCGCTTTATCTGTAATTGACCTAGAAAATATGGGCGTATCCATTTACCTCTCACGTGACCGATCCGCCATTACAACCGTGAAAAATAACGCACGTGTATTGATCAAAACATTATCGATTTTCTGTTTACATTTGTATTTCTTTCATTTTCTGATTTATTTTACTATGGATACTTCCAAAAGTTATAAAAACGTGGAGGCATTTCTTGTGCAGTTAATAGTTGTACAAATAATCGTAAAAATCTTCAAATGTGGAAAAAATCAATATGTGAAATATTACACAACGAGTTGCAGAATGACTGCCCTCGTTTAGTTCCATATGCGTCTCATTTTATGCTTTCTGACGAGCCAACAAACTTGAGTGGATCAAAGCCGTATAAACAGGAAAAAACTATACATAAACAGGGTTTTTTATGGTCAAAACATTTTTTTCTGGATGATGCGACACTGCACACAATCTTTTTTTTTTTAATAAAACTTGTTATGAAAGTAAAATAACACTGGCAGACGAATGTTGACACGTTGTAAAACGACTGTTAAAAACTTAAATTAATCTATGAAAATTAATCCGATGACTACAGTGCATCTTCTTCTTTTGTATAGAAGATCCACACATCAGAAGCGGATCCAGGATTTTGAAAAAGTGGGGGGGGGGGGGCAAACTAGACAACATTTGTAGTGGAAGCGGTTAAATGTAGACTAGTTTAACCATAAATGAAGCTAATAACAATGGAAACTACCCCGAGGCTACATGTAGTTATAATTGCAAGCAAATCAACCCAGTATGGAGAGACGAACTTTTGCTTTATGCTGCAAAATGGACAGACATTCCGACAACATTAACTCAGACAAAAATATTGTTAACAGAGGAGTAAGGAGTTCAAAATTAAATAAAAGGGGAAACCACGTCAGCCGGTAAAGAAATATTATGAATGACAGTGACGCCTTATTGTATACTTATGTAACTAAGTTTTCTTTACTTTAGTGGAATTACTACACAATTTAATTTTCAACTACGATATTGCAGATCAGCTGTAAGTTGCTCGATTGTACTGATGAGGTTAACACTTTGTTTGATATTTGGTTATTTGGGACGGCGCTTCATACTTCGAAAAGTAAGGCTTGTAAAATATTTTATTCCTGGTGCAGTTCTTGCTGAAAAACTTGAAGGTTTTACAAACAGCTGCATCCATAGACAAATCCAAGCAAAACTAACTATTAAGGGCATTTCCCTATAAGCCTCGTCTTAATGGTCTACATATGTAGGCCTGTGTGCTTATACTATATATTCACTTTATTTTCTTTATACGTTACTAACCGATATACATCCTCATTTTATACTGTAATACTGTATTTCACGGTATCATATACATCGGGGACTTTTATAAGAGTCTAATACAGATTAAGGATGAAAATCTATGAGACCTCTGTTTTGGGGTGGTTGGGAAGGGAGTTGACAAAACACTAAATGACACTTCTAAAACAAAGTAATACGAAAACGTCACTCAATTTTGAGCATTATACGTAAGTCGAACCAAAAGCACAAAACTCGCGTCTCTGTGGGACCGTCGGATTAGAGGATTGTTAAATTTTAGGACTGACCACAGCAATTTCTATGATTTGATAAAATTGCGCCTGGTTTTTCTGATATATCACATTCGACCGGGCAAGACTATTTATTTCTGTTCATGTATGCGTTATAATAATCAATATTATGATTACCAAATGATTATAATCGATATGTAATCTGGGATTAGTATTCGTATATTTATTATGTTTTACGTGTAACGTATCAAATACAATAACATTTTAAGGACACGACACCTGGCCTGCAATACACTTATAATCCTTATCCAATTACTTTATTATTTATAGCACTTATAATTTTGCCGAGGTCAATTACGACTTCACATTCTTGTGTTTACATTTAATTATACGCGGTTTGGGCAATAGATGTATATCTTGCCAGTTTATATTTTTTTCACGGTTGTAATGCCGATTGCTAAGTACTACGACGACGCCTAGGAGTCGCGTCACAAACTAAGGCAGATAATCGGAAAAACTTGTCAATATGTCTCAAATGTTATTGTAACGATTATAAAACAAATCCTGACAGAATTATAATTTGTATTGAGATGAAATGTAAACGTATCGCCAGGCCGCTGTATAAAAATGACAAAAAATACATCTTGATTTAATACCAACTTAATGTGTTTATCAGTTACTTTGATTATCAGGTTTCTTGTTTTTTCTATGTTCCTTTCAAGATTTTGTTTGATGATAAAATAACCTGAGCTTGTTCAACGCAATGGATATATTAATTTGTATCTACACGCATATTTATTTCTCTACAGTTCTATATCTCATCTTAGTGCTAAACTTTTCTCATAAGACACAACGAAACAACTTGATATTCAATATATTTTCAACAATATCTACAGATATTTGAATCATATTGATATACCTATCTAAACCCAGAAACTTCGCCCTATGTTTAGTATGTGATTATCAACATAACGACATGGATCATTTTGAAGTAATATGTTTTACTCATTGTATATATAGAAAGTGACGACTCTTATAAAGGTTCGATTTTTAGCTTGTTCAGTTTTGTACATGCTTGGACCATAGAAGTATTTATATAATACTTCCATGCTCGGACTGAATACTGAATTGGCAGGCTTGGGACAAGTACACGTAAACAATATGTTAAAACGAAATAATTTTGTTAATATTTCACAATATTACTATATATATATAACATTTAAGCATGTTTACGACGACAAGAGGGGTTTTTAACGACCTTGACTACCAAAGAGGGTCTTGCACGGTCGGTTCTGGCTTACGCGTTTTGGGGCAGTTGAATAATTTATTTTTACCTAACGGTAATTGATATAATTTTGGTTGACAAGAACATAACATGAATAAAAAGTAAAATGAACAATAACTTGATAAACACAAATTTTTAAATTTAAAAAT